CTGAGCCCTGCGGCGCCGGTGCGGCAGGTGCCTAGCCTCTCACTGCGGTGTCCAGTGGTTAAAAATAAAGTGGTGAGCTTGTAACTGCTCGTTGTGTTTCACTGCAATGAAATCCACTCCTATGAATGCTTTGTGAAAGAGGTGAAAGTGTTGTTTTTTTAATAACTGACGTCCCTTTCTGCTTCTTGTGTTTGCAGATGATGAAACATTTGGGTTTGCCGTTGCAAAAAAAATAGCCATTTCTAATAGACATTTAAAGCACCTCTCTTGCCTATGGCTTTTGTAATAGCTTGGGTTTTTGCATTGCATTTGACTGGAAACAAACCCTGGTCAAAGAACTCTTTGAATTCTTACTAAGTTTTTTATTTATGTAAAAATAAAGCGAGCGTGTTGATATTAGAGTACTTATCATACAGAAGTTTATGCCTAATTTGATGTGTGATTAGATAGTCTAAACTCAGCTCCTAATTTCCACAGCAAATGTTTCAATCCTTTCATTTTCTGTTATTCAGGCTGATGTGGCAAACGGGACAGTTTTTTAGAGTGGAAGGGCTAATCTGATTCATAAATGTATTCAAGAAAGCTAATGTTCTGTTATTCCATCTTGCAGTATGAGATGTACACTATTGAGCGGAATGCTGAAAGGACAGCGTCTGCGGGCAGGCTGCTCTATGACATGTAAGTAATCAGAGCTGGAACTCCGCAATTATGCCAGGTGCTTGTTTCCATAAATGTCAGAGTTTCCAAAAATATAATGTGAGTGTTCTTGGAAATCCATGTGGATAAATTAAGCAGAAAAGGTCTTACTAATTAAGAATAAACAGTAAAAAGGAAGGTTTTATTTTCCATTTGCCCACATGCATTCTTTCATAGGACGGTTTTGTCTTGGAAACAGATTTTGAGATCACTGTGCATTCCTCGCCTCAAACTTTATTACAGGTTTGTGAATTTTCCAGACCAACCTGCTGTATGGAGGGAGATAAGTGTTATTACATCAGCATTAAGGAATGACTCACAGGACAAGCAGACACAATTTTTAAGAGGTAAGGATTCTATAAGCCCTCTGGTTACATATCTAGTGTGGCAAATAAATGTCAGTGTTTTTAACTTTGCTTGTGAGCCGCAGATTTTTTTTCTCAGTTCAGCCTTAGAGACTTCATTCAGTGTGTTAGGCTTAGGAAACACAAAGGGACATGAAAAGCTGATTCTCATTGCTTTGTCTCTGATATGGGTAGACTAAGTCTGCCAGAACAACAAGCACCTAGAAAAGAGATTGCATAGGGAATAAGTGGAATGGGACTGATGAATCATCATCCCACTGATTGCAGAGAACGATGAATGATCGTAAAAATGGGGTGAATTCGTATGTATGAAGTGAGGTTATGAAAATGAACAGTGATCAGAAGGGCTTGGCCTTCACTGCTGACAACCACAGGCAGTTTTGAAAGCAGGATTTACACCTGACAAATTGTAATTTGCTGTTTGAATATGTGCTTCAGAAGCTCTAAGGATAAGCAGTGTGTAACTGCATACAGGCTATTCCAGTTAAGGAAACATTTACTTTTTCATGGAGTGTGTTTATTTTTCAGAGAGAATACATAAAACTTACAGGGACAATATGTTGGTTTCTTTTTAGTGTCTCATTGGAAGTTTAAATTGAAAAAACTACCTTTTAATAATGAAAGTATTAATTGTAGAAGTGGAATTTAAGTAGAAAAATAAATGAACATTCTTGAAAAAGCATCTTAAAATGTCAAATATTTAAGTATTAGGATTTTCAGTATTCCACTCTTTAGCAGTCTTACTTATTAATTCAAGTTCTGTGCACCTGAATAAACATAAATAATCATATGGTCTTCTCTGAAAGAAACAGCCATTTTTTTCCAGGCATAGATATTAAAAGCAGAAAAAAGTATAAGGAAATCTCTTTCACTCTGCATGGCAAGGTGGTGTTGACTAGTCTTTTACCCTTTGTCAGTCATCTTTACAATTCAGACATAGCAAGTTAAACATTTTAATTTTTTTTTTTTAAGGATTATTTGAAACCCTTCCTGGTCGGGTCCAGTGTGAAATGTTACTGAAGGCCACAGAGCAGTGTTTTAACACATTAGAAAGGGCAGAAATGCTACTACTACTTCTGCGACGTTTCCCAGAGACTGTGGTGCAACACGGGGTAAGAGAAGAAGAGCTCATAGTAACTATTCAGGTTATTGGCTTTCTTGAGATTTTGCTGAACTGTATTTTCCTTTACCTAGTGAGAGGGTGAGTCTTTTTATTCATGTTTAAGTGTGGCTAATAGTTCAGATTGCTGTATCTTGAGGTTACCACCGGGAAAGAATTGGGCAGAAAACAAACGGAAGCAAATAAAACAATTTTTTGTTTTGTAAATGCAAAGAATATTCCATGCTTTTTGAAAAAGCAGAATAGCACAAAAAAGAGTGTAGAAGGGTATTACAGTCTAAGAATATTGCTTCAGCTTTTTGTTAGTAAACTCTCATTGAGGGCAGAGTGCTTTGAGGTCATGACTAGACTCTAACATGCAGCATGCTTGCTTTGACTTATGAACCTACAGCTGGAGCTCTTTAAATGATGACCTATTTTATTTAAGGACAGTTTAAGGATAGTTTAAAAATAGTTTGAAGACTATAAAACCTGCTAGTTCTGAGACTGACTTACACTAACGTGTTCTAGCTTGTACTAGTATCAGGCAGAACGCACAGGCAGTTACTACAGCTCAGGTGACAAGCTGCAACTTTAAGGCCTGGTACCTCCATCGCTTTCACCTGTCTGTGCACATCTTTACTGATACAGTCGCATGCACAGTTTTTCTCTTGGTCTTGTTTTGCGATCTTACGGCATTGCTTTTCACCTGTTGTTAAGTAGGGATAGTTTAACTATCCGTTTAGAGACTAGCACATGCAGTTACCATATAGTGAATTGCTACTCACGCATCCACTGAATTACTGTTCAAGTCCATTGAATCGCAGTTCAAAAAGTTTCTAAAACCACTGGTCCGGTGTTTGATTTTCACCTCTGCTTACACAGGTAGGCCTTGGAGAAACTTTATTAGATGCTGAAAGTATTGAAGACCAAGAATCCCCAGTGAATTGTTTTAGAAAATTATTTGGTAAGAAAATATTAACATTCTTGTTCTATTACACAACTTTTTAGTATGGCAAGATTCTGAGTTCAATAAACTACTTTCAAGATACTAAGATTAGAAAACCGCTTTAGTCAGAAGAGGGTCAGGCCACATTAGGCCAGGCTGACCATATGGTACAAATTGGTATTACAGTCATTCATGTGAGGTTCTTTGTAATCCTTTGTGGTGTATGGTCAGCCAGAGATGGAGGCTTACATTGCTGATTGAGAAACCTTACTTAGGACAAAGAGAATAAAAAACCCCACAAACCTAAAGGATTTTTTGGTTTGTTTTCTGTTTTAGTTTGTGACGTTCTTCCTCTAATAATTAACAACCCTGATGTTCGACTTCCTGCCAGCTTGTTATATAAGTATCTGAATAAAGCAGCGGAATTTTATATTAACTATGTAACTAGATCGACACAGACAGAAAGCCAATATCAAGGTAAGAATATTTTTACAAAATTAACCTTTCTTAGAATGTATTTTAGTATTACTGAAGTGACGTCCATAAATGAAGAATGCGTTACTTTTATGTAATGTAATCCCATAGACAAGGATTAATAGTAGTATTTGATGTTTCTTAGTTCTTTGATACCAAAATACTTCATGATGCTTCAACTACTTAGTCATGATGCTCATGATGCTTCTACATATGTACTGAGAGGTAAGACAAAACGTCCAAGATCTCCTTATCCAGCCTATCAGCTCTCCTGTACGAGGAGGCAGAAATGCCTACTGCTCCCTGTTAGCCTTCTCAGTAATGAATGGTTACCCTGAAAGCTCCAATGTACATTTTTACATGTCGTCTTCTTGAAAATAAATCAGTTGGTTTGATTTCTTTATGAAGAGAAAAATGTGCTGGTTTTCCTAGGTTCACAAGATTCCTCTGATATTATGTCTCCAAGCAAGCGTAGCTCTCAGAAATATGTAATTGATGGTCTCACAGAGAAATCATCCCAGATTACAGATCCTTGGGAGAGGCTATTTAAAATATTGTCTGTGGTGGGAATGAGGTGTGAATGGCAAATGGATAAGGGAAGAAGGTGAGAAATGTGTACTTTCCCCGGTATTTCTTCTCAAGGAGAATTTGGCTTTTTAATTCTTAAGGAGATGGGTTGAAGACGGATTTTAACATGAGGGCATTTTGTGTAAATTCAGTGCAGCTTTTCTTTCAAGACTGTACAATGTAAAGCAAAACATGGATCCAGGGAGCACTTTCAAATTAGTCTCGAAGCTAAATCTTTGTTGATGAAAGTCATGCATAAGAACTATAGTACTGTGGGGTATCCTTCCCTAGGTGCCTTAGCAAAGAGAAACATGGTAAATATTTAGTGAAGTTTCACTGGTGTGCATTCCCAGGCTCCACTGACTTGCAGCTGGAGGATTTCCTCAGCCAAAACATTTAAGTTTTTCATACTCACTAAGCATTCTTTCCTTTAGTTTTGGAGTCTATGTAACATCCTGAATTCTTTTTGTCTCTCTTCCTCAGAAGTTTTGGTGATATTTTGCATCGAATGAAAGACCTCTGCAGATACATCAGTAACTTTGATAGTGATGCACATGCTAAATATAAGAATCAAGTAGTGTATTCCACGATGTTGGTCTTCTTTAAAAATGCATTCCAGTATGTCAGCAACATCCAGCCATCACTCTTTCAAGGTTAGTTTCTAACGTTTCAACTTTTGTAAAGAGTTCTTTGTGATTTCATTGCTAATGTCTGAAAGAACTTTTCTCATTAGTCTTTTGAAACTGTCATCTTACAAAGTGACGTGGGTCTTTTTTAAAATTCTCCCAAGCCATTAGTCTTACCGGCAGAAGTAGTTCATGACAACTGCTGTAGTGGATCACACCAAAGATCAGTCTAACTTAGCATTGTGGTTTCAACCTTGGCCAGCAGCGGTTAGTTGTCTAGCAAAGAGAAAAGTAACAAACCAGATGTTACGAGAAACATCCCTAGGGTTGTCCCTACTCTTCCATCAGCATCATGTTTGTTTCATTTTCTCCTCTGATTCTGTTTCTTTGAAGCTGACATTTTCCTGGCTTCCTTCAGTCAAAAGACTGTACAAAAAGCTTCCACAAAATAAGTGAAGATATTTTTGCATTAGGAACACACAACAAATTTATAATTAATCAAATAAAAACTGAATAGGAAAAGATTTCCTGAAATTCACAAGCTTCCAACTTGGCTTTCTTTGTATAGTTTAAGCATGATCTTCAAGGTGTGCTTTGCACATTAATCCTAATCTGTAATTAATTTGTAAATTGAACATTTAAGGTATGAATGTTACCTGTGCTTTTTCCTACCCACTCAAATCTGCATTTGGGGCATATCAGATTGCATGGAACACCTTGGATTGCTTCTTCAGGGATTGACTGGGCTTTTCAGGGGTGGCCCAGAAGCTGAGGGAAGTTCTTTAACTTCCAATTTGTTTAGAACTTACTGAAATAAACAGCATCATAAAGAGGAATTTTCAACTTTTAATAGTGTGCATTTCCTGTTTCTTCACTCACTGCTAGGGAATTCCTTGCAACAATAACAATTGTCACCATAGGTAATTAGTACTTATTAACACTACAATTACTGATTCATGATAAAATTACAATTTTAATTCTGTGTGTTGTGTTCATAAGTTGCATGACAATTTCCTGCGTGGAGCAAATGATCATTTGAGTAATGAAACACTCAATACAAATGATGGGTTTTAAACAACTTTACAGAAGGTTGGGTAATCAGTTGAACAATGTCAGTAGATAGCTAAGCTCAGAAGACAAATGACATGGCAACTTGTATGCAAAGAACATGTAGTCAGTTTAACAAATACAGGAACTAACTGAGTTGCGGTTTTTGTTCTATCCAGAGGAAGGAAGAGTTATGGTGGGGCAGTGAGATACTTACAGTTTTAGCTGCTTGATTCTGAGTTGAGGAAGAAAGGAAGTAAAGCACTGGTGAAAATGTTCCTTTCTAAGTTGTACAATTGAGTATGTTAAAGCTCATGTTTTCAGACTGAACCGCCAAAAAAAGAATGTATACTGATAGCAGAGCGCAGTCCCTTTGGTGCAGCATTTCTGGTACCCTCTGTCATTTCCTGACATCAGGAAAATATTCCCAAGACATCTTTTACTCATTTCTGCTTTAGCATTAAAGTCCAGTGGTATTCAGTGCCTTTCATATCCTTTCTATAACTAGGGTTTTTCCTCGTCTTTGGAGGGCTTGCTGTAGAAATGTAGAATCCTACGTATTTTGGAAGCGTAGTGGTGGGGAAAAAGGCGTCTCCTCCTTAATCCAGTAGCTCTGAGCTTTGATCTGTGACTTTCTTCTCATGTACATGGACTTGCAAGAAACCTCGAGAGAAAACTTTTCGATGCATTTCTCTTACATAATTCATATCTGCCTTGCTGGAGACTTGAGAAATGAATGAGGCGATTCACACCTCTCATAACTTTCAGGCTGCCTGCAGGCTTGGCAGGAGTTGCTATTTGGGCTGATGCTTTTAGGGGTTTATTTATAACACTGTGCTAGAAATCAGTTAAAAACTCTGTAAGCTTAGATTGTAGAGCTTGGTTAGACAGAAGACCACTACATTGCTCTTTGTATGGCTGTGTAAGTTTCAGTAATGTAAGAGAAGGTTTGCAGCACAAGTTAAGGGTGAGGTTAGGTTTTGTTTTGCTTTAGAGCTGGAGGTTTTGGAATAAAGGCTACAGTGCACTTGCCTCCTACTGAGAAGAGAACATTTCTTTGGAAAGCAAAGCACTTAACTGGTATTCATTCAAATCAGTATGAGTAAAAGAAAAACCCACTCCTTTCTTCTCAGGCGTTAGAAGTAGGCAGCTTTTGAGATTCTAGTGATAAAACTCTCCCAGCATCCCAGTTGTGGTACTTTCATATCTGTTTCTCATGGATGCTATTTTCTACATTATGACTTGGCTCTATTTTCAGTTCACACAGGTTAGATTCTAACACAGTGGAATACAAGATAGTACAGGAGAGGTGATTTCAATGTGTTGTAGCCTTTGTGTAGGGGACATCTCAATGGTGGTATTTAGTTTGAGCGTAGTCAAAGGATATAACATTATTTGTTAAGCATGCCAGGTTGGTTGTTTCTTGTAACATTAACTTCCATTGTAGTGGACTCCTTACCCATCACTTTTGGGTAGATGGGAAAAGCTTAATATGGGTTCTTTTATGTCAAGAGATGAAATGGATTGACCTTATACTAAGCTCTTAAATTAGTTCTTCGCCATTATGAATGAGGCCTTAGCCTCATATCTTTCTGCAAATAGAAACAGAAGAAATGCACATACTGAAAATACTTGTCCGCGCTACTGTCTTACCTGGTGGAGATTTCAAAAAGGGAGAACAGATTAATGGATTTCCCCTTTCCTTCATATTTCTCTTTGTCTGAGCTTTGCACATCTATATACAACTTGATTGTGCAAAAGGAGAAAAAGTTTTCAGAAGGAAAGCTTTCTCAGTAGTGGCCATGTACCAATGTTGATTGAGATTAAGAAGTGTTGTTCCTATTTTATATCTAACGAAACTTAATCACTGAGGTTTGAAATAACAGGTACGAGATCCCACCGGATGTCCTGTGACACCAGTACAAGTAGAAATTATGTCTTCCGTGTTTCAAAATGAGGCTTCTCTAGAGGCTCTGGGGAGTGATGATGGGGTCTGGCAGTCAATTAAAGGTTTAATTCTGTACACTGAAATCAGTGGGGGCAAAGCTGACACCTGGTGATCCTACTAGGGAAATCTTGTGATAAAATACACTCACTTCTTTGAGGCATCAGTGCCTGTCAGCATATTGCTTTGGTTTCTCATGAGAATGTTTTGAGAATATTGCTGTGCTTCGCCGTGTTTGTGGCTGTTAACTTCAGAGCCATTTGTTCTGTTCACCTGTGGAATAGTTGTACTTATATAAAAGCAAATAATGCTTGATGAGAGAACACCTGCTGCCTGAGTATATCTTGTGACTGCTCTGTAAGAAAAGGATTCAAAGATATTCTGAAGCTCTCAAGCAAACTCTTGTGATGTCTGGTAAATGCATTCTGACCTTTACCGTAAGGCTGCTTTGAGAAAACCATAGCTTTACCAGCATAGTTTAAGCTTATGCAACTTAAATGAATTAATTTCAGATTGTTTTCTCTAGCATTATAATTATTACTTGTAAAGGAAACAAAACCAGCTTGATGTAGGCATGAGACCTTTCAGATCAGCTTAAAGCAATCTTGAATTAATTTATCTTTAAATCCAGGTCCAAATGCTCCAAACCAAGCCCCACTGGTTCTTCTCGAGGATGTGACCAACATCTATGGCGATACAGATATTGATCGTAACAAACACATACACAAAAAGAGGAAACTTGCTGAAGGAAGAGAAAAAACAATGGTAACTTTTCTAGAGTTTTTCGTTCGTAACAAGAATGGCATTGGTACTGGAATTTAGTGGTTTTGACACAGATGTAATAGACATATTTTTAAAGCTACCCTGGAATAGCTGTTTATGACCACAATTTGCAAACGGATTTTTTTTGGCTAAAGTCAGCAAGAATAAAACAATTTTTGTAGCAATTGCTGTAGCCATATATGTGCTGATGTCAATACTTTAACTTGAAGGAGTTCAGCAGAGACTGCAGAAGCTGTTAAAAATGGTAGCTATAGCAGTCAGATGTTCTACAGCTAAACCTCCAAATTAATTGACTTCTCATGATTGGAACTGTGAATACTGTTTATCACACTATACCACAGAGTTTCTTGGTAGCAAAACAGATTGTTCTAATAGTAAAACAAGCTAAGTGAAGTTACTTAAAGACACTTAAACCAGGACTTGCCGTCTCTAGTACAGAATTGTTTTCTGGTGTTCAGTGGAACTTCTGTGACTTTAGAGTCCTTTGAAATAAGTATAAATCAAGAAGTGAATCTTTTTGTTTTATACTGACTCTTAAGCAGAGCTCAGATGATGAGGATCCTTCTGGGAAGGCACGAAGTCGCCATATTACAGTAAACAAGGCAGATCTTGCAAACTCTATTGAAGTATTAGAGAGCTTTAAACTGGCAAGAGAGAGCTGGGAGCTGCTCTATTCTCTGGAATCACTCGACAAAGGTAAGGCTAACAGCAGGCAGAGTTGCATTTAAGCTTCATTGCTGTGCATAGAAGTCATTTTACTATTGTTAAAATAGCATTCCTGTCATTGTGAATCCTTAAAATTGAACTTACTGTGGGTCCTGAGTATTTTTGATCGAAGTTGCAATAAGAAACTTTATCAGTTGTTGCATTTCTGAATATTTCGTTCCTGGATTTCGTTTCATTCTTCATGCATCTTTGCTTATTCACCCCCACTTCTCTTGGAAGCAGCTTTTACTGAAGGAGCAGTTGGTTACTAGTAGTGTTGATAATAGTCGGTGAGGATGTGCTGCTAATGGCTGCTTTAGTTCATGCTTAAGAAGATGTGTCTTTACTGTCTCTTTATCCCTCTCTGATAATATCTGGTGTGATAAGCTTTTCATGCTGAAGAAGATGTGTCTTTACTGTCTCTTTATCCCTTGATAATATCGTGATAAGCTTGAAAACAAATTTGTCTTCTAAAAAGCAGGCAAATAGTACCACCTAGCTGCTTTTAGATTTGTTGAACACTGTGAAGAGAAGTATAATCAAAATGTGATTGTATAGGAAGAGAGTATCCTATATTTGAAAGATTTCACACTCTTACTGTTTTGTTTTTTCATTTTTTAAATTCAGCTATTTTTTTTCCTAGATAATTTTTAACCGAAAGCTATGAAATGCTTCATTTTCTCTTTTACTTTTTCTTCTCTGACCACTTACGCAGAGTTCACCAGAATTTGTTTGTCATGGAAGACAGACACCTGGCTTTGGTTAAGAATCTTTCTTACAGACATGATCATCTACCAGGTAAAAAAATAAAGTAAAAACTAGTAAAAATGACACCATTACGTTGCTCTTCTAGTGAATAGCTGTTCTGATTAGCCAGTTTGACTGCTTTAAGTGTCCACTGATTTTATCCTTTAAAGCATGACCCTTTTGGGGATGGAATCATACCATTCTTGCCACAAGCTAGGTACCCTATTTAGGATATTCCTGTCCCAATAGCTGTTTGTTGAGTCCAGCTAGTTTTGGCATATGGGAAAGACATCTGCGTTGGCATTTTGCCCAGTAGATATATATAGTGTTATGGAAGAAAAGCGCATTTTATTCGTCTGTCAGTGCATTCTATTGGAACACAATCAGAGAGAAGAATTTTCAAACAACAGACGATTTTAACATCTCAGTTAAAATTTATCATTCTCCTTAGAAATTAGGCTGACTGTACTCATTCCAAATACCATCTATAGAACAAAGCTTGTTGTTTTATATTTTTCCTTTGGGGGTCTTTTATTTTTGCCTGTACTTGTACCTCAACAAAAGCTATTTCAAACTTTATTAGTCTAAATAAAGTAATCATTAACTCTGAAGAGCATGATTATTTGTTTCAGTTATAAATGCGATTTTGTAAACAGACTTCTTAAAGCAGAATTCTGTTTGTCTTCTCACTGCCTTGCAAGTGATTGATCCACACTCCTGTACATAGGACGTCACTGGAGAGTGTTCTGCTAAATTAAAATTTTGGACACGGTCTGTTTTGAAAGCTTTCTGTAAGGGAATTTTTATTTCTGTCTTTCTACCCATTGTATACAGAAGACCCTAACACTGCCTTTTTATATCTTCTTTTTAAAGGGGCAGTACAAAAAAGCAATTAGCAGCCTACATCACTTGGCAGCTCTTCAGGGCTCTCATTCTCCACAGCAAATTACAGGACAAGGATCACTAGAAAATCAGAGAGCACTAATCCAGTTAGCAACATGCCACTTTGCCCTTGGAGAATATCGGGTATGTACAGCATTCCACACACTGGTCCTTCATCATCTGGCCCTGTAGTTCCCGTTTGTCTTCTTCCTTTGAATTTTCAACAGGGTACTGAACATAAGCCAGGGTCTACTAAAAAATCCATGCTTCACAGAAGAAGAATTGCACTTCCTGGCACATTAACTGACTGTCCATTAGCATCTCTCTTATATAGTCTGTTTGGTAGTTATGATTTGGGGGTGTAGTTGTGATTTTCCATAGCTACAAGTGTTTGAGTTGTCTGTAAATGTAACCTTAAATTTGAATTCCTTAACTTTACTGAAACAGTTCTAAATATTGAGGGAAAATTCTTAGATATAGGCTTCATGTGGCAGGGGAAGGAAAAGGTTTATAGAAAAGAAACTTCTGTGATCATCTTAGAATTATTTATCAACTGCCAGTATAAGAGATTCCAGAACAATATTGTCTGTCCTGACCTTTGAACTTGCTTTACCTTTGCAATACATATTTTCTGTTTTTAACATTACAGGAGTGCATGGTGGTCTGAGGTCAGTCAGTGTCAGCACTAGTAATAAAGGCTGGGTCTCTTAGGATCTAACGTCATCCTAGTACTACTGGACAAGTCTTTTTGTCCCTTCCAGTTTACTACTTTTTCATTGGAAATGTGATAATAGATCCCCACAGACCTCTTATTGTCTCTAGGAAATAGCATTAAAAGTTCATTGCATTTCTGTCATGCTGTCAGATTGCCATTTTCCTTTCTATTTTACCATGGACAGAACAAGCTTTTAAAAACTATTCTAAGAATTCGTTTGAAAACTTAATCCTTCAAAATAGAATAGTTTTTGATTGCAGTTGTATTGATCTTACATTCTTGAAATGAAGAATGCTACTACATATTTTTTCACAATTAACATGACTTATGTAGGCTCTCAGAGATTGATTAATGACAGCTACGTCTTTTTGCTCAGCCGAAGTAAGTTATGCATTAAGTCCACTCAAGTTCTAGCAGAGAATTTTGTGATTGTTTTTTTCTTTTGCAGTGTCTGAAATTTTTAATCGTTGTTAACATATCTGAATTTTAAGAACTTTAGTTTAGAGTTAGCATTATCATGTCTCTCTTCTTCTTTTTATAGCAAACATGTGAAAAAGTGCTTGACCTCATGTGCTGCATTTTACTTCCAATACAAGAAGGAGGTAAAGTACAAGAGGAGCAACCTAAAGTAAAGTCTAAGTTCAGGAAAGGTATGGAGTAGCTACTACCCTAAACTCGGTGTCAGCTCAATTTTAGTTCATGCGTTTTGGTTGAGTATATAATTCTTCTCTTTTTGTATTACAAAAAGGGAGGAAGTTCTTTATCCCCTCTTGTTTTTGTGAGTGGTTTTCCTGCTGGTACCTATTAAAGTATATTGGTGACAAAGTCCTACCACAGGAAAAGGGAAATGAAGAAAAAATTTTAAAATGCGTAACTTCATGTTTTGAATCATTCGTAATTTACCTTCAAAGTGTTCCTCCCTACCTGAGATTTGGCAATTGTAGATTTGTTTTACTCCATTCTAATCTCTTTCAAACATACATAATCATGAGACCCCTGAAGAAGCGTATGATAAACTGTTCTGTTGCAGGGTCTGATCTGAAACTTTGGCCGTGTACCAGTAGAGCTATCATGCCTTACTGCCTTCACCTATTGTTAGCTTGTTTCAAGGTAAGCTGTAGTCAAGGCTTCAAATTCTCTCGTGTCTCTAAGGCCTAGTTTATGTATCTGGGGTCCTGAAACTGCATGGCCTTATCCCAGTGGTGTGACTAGGTGTGGAGGGCTGTGCCTCAAGTGCTTCTCACCTAAATGGGTTTGTGGAGGGTCTTTTGGGGGGCGGGGAGGGAGTGTTGATGGAGGAGGGTTTGTTCTCTCTTTTTTCTCTTCTGTTCGCTTTAGTCTTGGGCAGAGGAGATAGAATTAATCTCAAAATATTTTTGTCTGTATTCAGACTTCCCTTATAGGTCAGTGGAGAGAATTTGGTATTTTGGCTGGAAATTTCCAACCTATTTTAAATGTATATATTAGGGCAGAATGAAATACGCTCCTAAAGAACTTCTTTTGTATTTGCACAGATGTAGGTGAGATGAATCCCATATATTTATAAAAGCAACATGTGTTTCCTGATTGTCTCAATATCAATTTTATCCCTGAAGCTCAGAGCTTTCACAGACAGCAGAGATGATATGGCGCTGGGCCACGTAGTTGTTCTGCTTCAGCATGAGTGGCCAAGGGGTGAGAACTTGTTCCTGAAAGCCATCAACAAAATCTGCCAACAAGGAAACTTCCAGTATGAGAATTTTTTCAACTATGTCACAAGTATCCTTTCTCTAACCAAGAATGTCTTTCACATCCAAAACTGTGTGCTGGGGTGTTGAAAAAGCTGTTAGTTTCAGCAGCAGCTCTCTCTGTGAATCATACTCTGTATTTATTTCCGTACCATGCAAGCCTCTTGTAATAGGTGGCAGTGCACAATGGGCTATAAATGTGCCTCCTGTCACCTGTTCTGGCACTTGAGAGTACCCTTAAGTACATTGCAATTGCACTCCCATTCAGAAAAACAGCAGCAGCTTAGGCTGCTAGTGCAAGTGGTGGCAGTCTTTTCAGTAAGATATATAGGGCATTATACTACAAGGTTGTTAACAAAAACGATAAAGCAGTACCTTTACTTCTATGCTTCAAAGAGTTGAATGATTTTGGCTATTGTTTATGAAATGCTTTGTGTGGGTAAAATTTTGGGGTTGAGTAAGATAATGAGCTATGTCAAAGTTCACGCAAAGCACGTCTGATTTCTGTATTCAGATATCTGACATACGCTTTGATCAGCATACACACACGTGGACAGTTTAGTGTTTAACCTAAATAGACATCCAGCCATGGTCTCCAGGAAGCAAGGGGTCTAACTCCTATCTGAGACAACTAAAAAAGCTCTGGTGTTAAAGGAAGGGGGAAAAAAAAAAGAAGAAAAGCTAAATAAGGGACCAAAATAGAAAACTAAAAAGAGCGGTATGTGCCACCGTGGTGGCATTTCCTTCAGTCCCAGCCTCAGTATGCACTGCTTTGATAACCTGCAATGCAGGAAAAGGAAGTAAAAACAACCAGGGAATTTGTTTGGAGAGATGAGCTTTCTTTAGCTCTGTTGACTGTACATATGAAGAAATGAAGAAAGAAAAGAAATTGACTGATGTGTGTATTTTGCACTTTAAAAAGCCATTTCTCATTAATTTGTGGAGGATTAGGAATACATGCTGTGGTCTTTATCACTTTTAAGAATGACATACTTCAATAGCTGTTCATTTTGACTGTCCTTTCAGCATGTGGCTTCAGATGTAAGGGACAAGAAGGAATGTTCTCTATCATTTTTTTCCTACTCAAATCTTTAACGTTTTCTTCAGATATTGATATGTTGGAGGAATTTGCTTATTTAAGAACACAGGAAGGAGGGAAAATTCATCTGGAACTGCTGCCAAATCAAGCAATGTTGATCAAGTAAGGATAAAAAAGCATTTACTGTTTTCTTTGGAAACAAAAAAGGGAGTATGTTCTGGTTGTCTTTGCTTTCATGTAATCTTCTGGATAGTAAGTTTGTCATGTCTTTGAGTTTAAATTTAAGGAGTTGGCTAAGGAGTTCAAACAAGGCCATGAGTTTCTTTTTCTGCCTCTCCTGCTGATCTGTGAATTCTTTTTGGGGGTTTTTCAACTTTAAACTCCTACTTTTACAGAACTTTGTGTGGCGTTTGCTTTAGAATGATTCATATTAAAGTGATTACAGTATTGCTCTTTCAACCAGACACTTGCACTTTGCAGGAATTCTTTAAATAATTAGGCATGAGTGCAAGGTGGTGTTAATAATTTTGCTGAACAGTAATGCTGAACAGAAAGCACTATTTGTTGTAAACAAAGTTATGAAAGACCACTGAATGATGAAAAACTTAGGTATAAAACATAAATTAAATTACACTCCAGGTAAACTCTAACAACCTTTCTGTCAGAACTAGCAGGTCATCTCTTGCTTTGTACTGAACAAGCTTATTCTGCTTAGCTTATTACGAGATGCTGAAGGAAATTAATAATTTGGATTAACTTCCTAGGTGTTCTTAGTTTTGAGTCAAGACTGAACAAGTATCTGCTGCAGGGTTTAGTGGCAGAATGTTTTGGAATATCCTGGTTGTTTATTAGAACTTGTGGTATTTTGTTTTGTAAGAGGGGGACTGCTAAAGTTTGTTGAAATTCCAGTTTGGGTCAGTGTATTCTGGCTATTCACTATTAGAAATGGGCTAAAGTTTTCAAAAAATGGGAGCCTAACATTAGACAACTGGATCCAAATTTGGACTAGTAAATAGATTTCCCAGAGTTCTAGGTAACCAACACAAAAATGAGATACTAGGTGTAATTAAAAGAAAAAGAAGAAATACAAATGCTTAATCATGTGACAGAGAATTTTCTCTTTTAAGCTCTAGATTTTCAAACTCTTACCCTTGCTGTATCTCCCTGCTTGTAACCAGCTGTATGAAAACAAGAATCAGGGTATGCTGCATTACGTATGATGTTAAATAATAAGCTTTGTCAGCAAGAGGGTTTAGCACTGAAAACTACTCCTGGTAACTTCTTAGCTGCTATCTCAAGTTAGTTGCAATAGTTCAGTGCTATTTCTCTGCGTCACGGCTTTTATTTTGATTGGCATGGTAGCTGTTACTGTTCTGACCCCACCAGTCAAGAAGTAGGTAGCGAGCAGTGTTTCTAGCAAGACAGAAAACTCTCTTTGACCTCCTTTTGACCAGTGTTATGTTTCCTGAATGATGGAAATGCTTGTAGAAGAGAAGTCCATTTCTTTGTTCTTACTGAGCCAAAATGGTCAAATATCCCATCCAGCTGGAAAAGCCATGTACAGTGTCTTTTATGTGGCTGAAATGTGTAGGACAGGAACCACTTCATCAGAGAGCTGATAGGAGGGAGAGTTCAGGGCGTAGTCCACTAACCGGAGATGATGTCTACTCCTGTGGTACCCCAGATATTTTTTTAGCTGGACTGGCTGTGAGGCTCAGGGATGGCATCACCCAAGAGTGTTGACCTCAGCAGCACTCGTTAGCTCACAGCCTCCCCCAGCTGGAGTTCTAGATAAAGTGCACCAGCACAGCCCTGTTTTCCTGGGACAATGGTTGGTAGGCTCAAAATCTGCAGACTGGCTTTCATCTTTCAAAACTATCACCAGTTCTGGTTGTATGAGCTGTTGCACCATCCTCCCGATAATTAGCAGAGGCAGCTCAGATACTGTTCAGTCATGCACAGGAAGACTCTGTGAGTTTGCCACAACAGCCCAAAGACGAAGCACTTGCTCCTTTGCCTGATCTTTCCTCGGCATAAATGTACGTAGCAACCCTGCATCTTAATTGATGGGAAATGTATTACAGATATTATATGTTTTTTATAAGAACAGCTTTTTGTTTCGTGACTTACAAGACATTTTCTCCCCAGGTGAATTCCACATTCTTCTTCCAGTACTTTTCCTCAGTACCTTATACTTCATAGGAAATTATATTCATTTTTCTGAACCCAGGAAAGCAAACTGCAATATGGTTTTCAAAAGCTGAAGTAAGATCTTGGTAGCCTGCAGACTTATAATCGGGTCCTGCAAAATATATATACAGCTTGTAAGCTTTCCCTTTGCTTGTATCCATTGTGGGAATATGAAGGTCCATGGTTTTGGTTTTAACTGGTGATATGGCCAGCTCATTCTGTTTGCAGTGTCAACAAGACTTCTACGATGAGCTCTGAATTCAACCACTAAGTGCTTTTGAACTCCATTCTAGACAAGCCAAGTTCCATAGTTTTACTGATTGTACATGTCAGTAGTGGCGGTGTTAGCTAGTGAGGTTAAAGAGGAAAAAAGAACAATATGCAAGAAATGACTGATTAATATCGTGCTCCTCTTTTTGATAAATCTTACTCTAATTAGTCTAATCTTAGCCAACCAAACTGCGTAAACTTGATGTGAAAAAGTTCAGTTGGTTTGAAGTGAAAAAGTGTCTTGAAAGTGTAATTTTTATTCTGATTGTGCACTTGGGTATGTTTAGTTCTGACTGCAGATCTTGCAAACAGTAATGAAGACACAGTTGCACAGAATTGCTTTTGCAAACATCTGCCACTCTGGGACCAATAGCATCTTGCTGTTCCTTTGTAATTTCTTTTCCCCGTGTCCATTTTTGCAAGTACTGGATTCATTCATGCCAAGAACTCTTGAAAAATTGTCTCATTTGATTGAATAATTCTTGTGAATATTTTATTTCAGGTTATTGTAGCTGTATTGTAGAGTGTTTCTGTACTACTAAAATGTCCCATCTTTATTTGACTTCTGTAAGCATAGCTCTCCATCCATATTCATTAATAAATTATAGATACTAACCAAAATGCCCACCTATGAGATCTGAAGGTAGGCACCTAACTCGATATTATAGGTACGTAAGTGCAAGTCTTGCTTCTCTGCCCCCTTCTTAGCATCTGTGGGGGTGAACGATGCACTCAGTACTTGGGTGGCTAATAAGATTTAGGTGACATTTTGAGAGACTTAGGTTAAGAAACTAGACCTGTTCTCTGTACACCAAATTTCTTACTTCTCCTTAGGTGGGGCATTGGATTTGCTCTAGGCTGGACGTGTGAGGTTATTATCTTGTGTTATAAATAGCACACAGAGATAAGGGCTTAACTTCACAGAGAAGACAAACTGTCTTTCAGCTGAGACACCTTTTGGTGGCTAGTTCATGTGGCCCTGGTCATAAATGGGAGCTTGCTCTGAGTGGGCATTTGTGCTCTGACATTGCACCATCCTCGAACAGCCATTTTTTTATGCAGTTTGAATTTGAAAAGGTGAAAAAGGCCATCTGTGGGCTAATGAAAAGATACTTGGGCAACCTGTAACAAACACTGTCATGTACTCAACTTGGCCGATACCCGCTGTGCATGCACTCGGCTTGGGCTCAGCAGCAAATCCCTTAACTCCCAAGTTGTGGGCTCTACCAGTTCACTGATGCGCTCTTGCTGGCTCTGCAGGGAAGCTGTGGCATCTGCAGTGCTCCTCTGATTAAATCTTTTCTGATTGACACGCTTCCGGGGAAGAGCTACGACCGTTCATCGTAGTACAACTGTGAATTGTTTTTGCACCTACCGCTGTCCTTTCTCCCGGTGTTAACTGTCCAAAAATATGTGTATATATTTAGACCACAGTTGCAGAACAGCCTTGCGATGAAATCTGGGGATATTTGCATGTTTGATGCTGTTAGGGTCCTGCGCCCCTTTGGCTGCTCAGTGGTCATATTGCTGTGTGGTCTCTACCCTAGTTCTTTGTTGCTCCTTTTTCTGGAGAGTTGTTTTGCACCAGAGGGGGAGTTGGTGTGTGGGTGTTTGAATGCTGCTATTTGCTGTTTTTTAAAGGACTTCTAGCCCTCCCATGGGGTTACTGCAGCAGGAATTCATACCTGTGCTACAGCCCAGCATACAGACTGCTGACAGGTACCAAGTGGAAAAACCCCGCTCATAGTGTGCTGTGTTTTGTCAACATGTTTTACTGCCCATGGTTTTCAGCAATTTGTTACTCAATATTTATCTTTTTTTTCTCCATTTGTGCCTACATTGCCTGGCAAACCATGTTGTTCTATTATAACATTTATTTTTCTTTTTCCCATAAGTTGCCAGTATCTGTGTCCTTTCAATTTAATAATCACTGTTGAATTTAAACAAAAATGTAGAAATCCCCCAAAATGATACCAATGTTCAATCATGTATTAGCAAGAGTATAACCCTTTCTTTTCAAGAAACTGGTTACTGGATCCACTTGTAGCTACTTTTCTTCATTTAAGTTGTTCTGAATTCTGTTTTCTGTTTTGCAGCTGTTACATGACACACATCTTCAAAAGCGCTGCTGGCTTGCTCAGTAGCTGTAGGTTGCATATTCTCCTTTAGGTTGTAATTGACCATAGCACTTGGCTGCTAGCTATGTTTAAGACAGTGAAGATGGAAAACAGGGCTTATCCCATAACCTCTGGATATGCTGGAGTGTTTTCAGTGCAGTTTTGCTTCACTCAGCCTAGCTCATCAATGAATTGCCCAGTAGTCTGCAGGCTAGTCTCTTCTTTGCCTTTTCCATGTGTTACAGAGGTCTCTACTGTTTTGCAGAGAAGTCTCTTCTCAAATGCTGGACTTGCTGATTTAAGTGAAGGTGGGGTGGTATTGTTGGTGAGGGTAATTCCCAGACTTTTCCCTTTCTCGTTTCCAGCATCTCTGGATTGGCGTAGATGCCCTCACCCTTTATTTTTTTTTATTTCCTTTCTGTCTTTCAGTGTGCTTGCTGGGTTCGGTCCAGCTCTTCCCTTCTTACCCATGATTCAGGACTTGTCTCAACGTTAGCATTATGCTTTTCTCTCTAATTTAATTTATGCTGCTCCTTTAGTAGTGCTAGGGCTCTCATTTCAAGGTGTATCTTTTGCGTCCCTTCCCAGCTAGGGCTTGCAGGTAGATGTTACAAAGTCTAGATCTTACTTAACCAGTTCTGGACCAGTGCAAGTAAAGTGTAGTGCTTTAGTGCTGCAGAACATTGTTTTAAGGACAAGATTTAGGTATTGAGTGCTACAGGCCAGCATGAGGACAAAGAACTGTTCATAAGAACGGCCTTTAGCAGGGCAATAGCCCAAGAGTTTCCCCAGCCAGCATTGCTTTAGCTTGCTCAGTAGCTGGACCTTTGTTCTGTTTGAAAATAAGTCCTGAACTTCTGCTCAGAATAAATGTAATCCCTGCCTGGCGTCTAGCATCTCTACAAGAGCCGGCTTCTACTGACGCAGACTCACAGCCTGGCTTGATTTGGGCTTTGTGTTGGCCTGTGAAGTGTTCATTGCACCTTTCATTAGTCAAAGAGTTATCAGTGCCCACAGGATTATATAGCTCCTTCCTGCACTTTCCTACTGGTACAGGATGCCCTCTGCTCTTTATGGTGGCAGCCATCTGTCCCCTTCCTCCAGAGAAAGCAGGTTCATCTTTTCACTCTTCTTTCAACCCGAACCATTTATAGAAGTGATTATAACGAGGAAGTGGCCTGGGCAGCAAAGGTAGAGAGAAAAGAAAAATTCCTTTCCCCAAGCAAGGAGAATTCTGTACGTGCTGGGTTAAGCGAACAGTTCTTCCTGTTAGCCAGAACAGCAACTTTTTTTTTCCCCCCAACAGTCATAATCAAAGCAGTGAGAGCATAGAGTTTTGTGGAACTTGCAACTGTTGAGAGACTTGTAAGCTACTAAACACATGATTTTTAAAAAATAGCATAGCACAGGCTATTTGGCTCTCCTTATATAAACTTGGGTATGGACAGTAGATACATAGTAAGTGACATGCAGCACCTTTTAAATTACTGTAGTGCACCAAATAACCGTTCTTTGATTTTGTCTGTCTCTCTTTCCTTCATGACTTAAGGCATCATACAGTTACCCGGGGTATAACTAAAGGAGTGAAAGAAGATTTCCGCCTGGCCATGGAGCGCCAGGTCTCGCGCTGTGGGGAAAATCTCATGGTGGTCTTGCATAGGTTCTGCATTAATGAGAAAATACTGCTGCTTCAGACCCTTGCTTGAATGGACTGGACCATGATGCAGTGTCTCTTACGGAGAGAGGGGAAGGCTCTTAATTGTATGAACAGCAGCATGGCAGTGGAAATCACTTGTCCGGAGAGTCAAAGAAGTCCCCTTTGAGTTACAGGTTCTGCGATACACAAACACTACTCAGTGTTTGTTCACTGCTTAGTTTTCTTATGTGGGTAGATCAAACTTTATAAATAAAACTTTGTTTAAGAAGTCTTCTGTAATGTCCTATTTGTTTTGGGCTTTTTTCCATAGCATTATACTAAGGTGTGCGTCTTAGTTCTTTCCGTCTTTATACATACACAGAGAACATAGCAGGGTATTTCAGGCTTTTTATTAGCACTAGTTTGGAAATCACAGCATGAGTGAATTTCCTGAGTTTCCAAAAACTATTATCTTACATTGAATTGGTCTGCTATCTCTTCCTTTTTGGCTCAATTCTACCTGTATTGCTGGTTTTCAGATTCAGGGCCCTTACATAAACCCATTTATAAAGAGGATTGCTTTGATCGAACTTTGGCAATATCCAAGTGATTATACAAAGTCAATAGGAACTGGAGTGTAGCACGTGAAACTCGGACCTCATCCATGCTAGAGATATGTAACACAAAGGCCCAGAACATGCACAGACGGGCTGCTAAACCTGTAGCAGCAGCATGCTGATGAATAAGCCAATAGAAGAGATCTTTGTCAGCAGGCTTCAGCAGGATCCTAAACCTAAGGTTTTGATCCAAGACCAAATTAGAAGAACACAATGAAGAATGATCGGTTGAGGCACCACTTTCTGCAGCACACTGTAGCACACAAGTGCCCCTGAGCTTTCCCAGACAGTCACTGCACTGCCGACTCAAGTGCAGGGCTGAGGATGCTGCCAGTGCTCCCAAGTCAAAAAGATGGCCAAGGTAAATGTGTGCCAGTAGCCAGCGTGGTGCAGGCATGCAGTAGGTGCCAAGGGTATATACAAACCCCAGACCACATGAGTTAGGGGATGCCTTGTCAGATGCGACGACTGTTACCACACTCCCATTCTGATAACCCCTTGCAGTCACCACCCAGATCCCTTGCAGTTCCTTTTGCAAGCACCATCAGGCTGTCTTTAACTGCCCAACTATTGCAGTATGTTCAGTTTCTCTATATGAAGGAGGGAGATCAGTAAAATATTTACAAAATACAGAAAACAGGAAGAGAGCAACTGCAGCAGACTAGTAAGTTTTTGCTAAATAGGAAATTACTGTCCCTTAAGTCACATAAAAGTCTTGATGACAACTTCCATGGCACTGTAAACTTGAACTAGTATCCCTTTTTAGTAATAGAGCCTAGCATGAGTGGCAATATTTCAGGCTAATCCACTTTATGTGCTTGTCCCATCAGAATCTAGGCCTGCTACACCTTGACCACCTCTATCAGATTTTCCAGAATATCCTTCTCTTGTAAAGTAAATATGATATTATGACCCAAAGAGTTGTTGCAGTGAGGTTTTGAGTCAGATGCTCTGCGTGGGATTGACTGTCTTGCATCTTCCACTTAAAAGGGAAATAGTTTTCAAACACTTCGTGTCCAATGTAGACCAGGATTGAGTTCATTCCTGAAAGTAAGCACAGGTCATACCATCTGAAAGAGCAGGTAAGAGCTTGCTTCAGAGTAAGCAGGCAGAGGCATGCCAGGCTTATGAAACGGAGTGGCACCGAGACAACAACAGCTAATCACAACAGCTTATATTACTTGCCCCAAAGATGCTACACACAGGTGTTTTCAAATACAGTCTGAGGGGTTCTCTCCCCCAAAATGTTTATTGAAAAGAAATACAGACAACCTATATGCTAAATTGAAAATATAACCAAATCAATATCCTGCAATTTTATTGACAAGGAGAATAATCACAGTTATTGTCTTCAGGGTGGGCAAGGGCCAACCTATTTGGTCAGATCTATTGCCTTTACAAACAAATGCTGACTGCTCTTCAAAGCTCTGGGATTTCTGGTAGGAGATACGATACCATGCTGTCACCCTACCCATCTTCCTGTCCAGACACCAGACACCAAAGCTGCTGAAAGGTTCCCTCTGCTGTGGGTTTGCATTCTGTACTCAGATGTTTGTCAAGAGCCCAGTGTGGTTAAAACCACAGTGGGATGCTTTGGGAGACAGGCTTATCTAAAAACACAGAGACAGAACCTACACAGCTGCCCAGGGGACTTCGTCTTCCACATCTTCAGAAGTGGTATTACTCTGCTGACAGGCCTTTGAGTTTCCCATTAGGTTACCCAAGTCTCAGCAGTCCTTTCCAAAACCAACTACGAACCAGCTGTGGTATTTTGCTTGCTACTAGGCAGCTGTTCCCTGGGACCTTAACTCGAGACCAAACTGAGAATGGTCATTTGGCAATAGCAGCTTCCAGCCCTCATTTAAGGACTTGAAAGTCCCTCTCTCCTAAACATCTGGTCCCAAGTGTCCCAGTTCTACGCAAAGATTCAACTCGAGTTAATTATTCTGGCGTCCTTCAGGTTACCTCATTCTAAATCCCAACTCTATTTAAAGACGAGGGAAGCGCAGAAAACATAAAAGGATAGTATCAGTGCAGAAAGAATTGGAAGGAATACGTTTCCAGCCGTGATTTTACTGACCTGGGTAGAAAAATGGAGCACCCGACCACAGTCTCTTGACATCCACAAGGTAATATATCAGCAATAAGAGGATGAAGGCAAAGCAGCTCATGGTTGTCACATACGATATTGACCTACACACATTTTCAGTAGAAAGATTATTTAGAGAACTATGTGATACAGATCTCAATATAAGAAAAGTAAAACATTCTCCAAGGTAAAATAGTACCTTAACAAAATCATACTAAAAGTCGTATCTCTTTGCTTACCATAAGTTCTTGTTTATGGGAATAAACCCTTCTTCTTTAGAACATTTTGTCAAGATAGCAGAAATAACTCCCTGAAATAGAAAGTTGCTAAAGTTTATATAACCACTGCAACATGTTTCAGAAAAACTAAGTTTGCGTTGCATAAAAATACATCTATTAAAAAGCTACATAACTATCTGACTTACCATTACTATGCTCCATATGAAGAACCGACTCATAATTTGTTTGTGCTGGTCTTTGTAGAACAAGATAATTTTTCCTGCCTAATACAAAAGGAATACAAAAAATGAATTAATGCCCATAAATGTAACTACACTTCAAGAGCCAGATATATTTGCCACCGGCTACCTGTGCTAAGACGGAGAACACAAATAGGATTTATATCAGCTAAGTGGCCGAAAGGCTCAGAATGGGAACTTTTTGCAAAGAATGGACACAGATGGGGAAAATAAGTAAATGCAACCCACTCAGCAACAGAGCTGCACCTTTTCTCCCTTCCCTACTACGTTAACACTGAAGAAGGGGACGAGCAACTTTGCTAGGTTAACGCAATGTGACTTGAGCTCCATGTCCCTCAGCAAGGATTGCACGAAGGAACAATGCCACATTCACTCCCCAGCAAGCCCCAACAGCTTCTCCACAGTGCCACGTCTCACCCTGGCCTGCTCGGAGCACACGCTCCTTTTCACGCACACTAAGAAATGTGTCCCGATGACTCATTCCTCAGTGTCACACTTCTGTTCCAAGCTCTGCCCCGCAGAGATTCCCGATCAATTTTTACCCAGTGCTACATGCAGTAACATTCCTTTCCCAGCACAGGAGTTTCAGTTTGGTTAACGGCTGCTGCACAGACAGAAAAGCCAGCAATGACCAACTAGAACTGCATCAAAAACCAACATGATATCCTATTTTAAACACAGTGGTGAGCTGTGAGCTTTTGATGTTGGTGACACTAATGTGAACCCCTGCCTCCCTCGTGTCTGGAAAGGTGAGCACACCCATAGCACCTATGAAAGATGGCTAACACTGCATGTCAAGCAGAAAATTAGCAACGGGGAACATGTACAGCTGTGACCTTTAAAACCGTATGTTTAAAATGAAGCTGTGAAGTCTATGCGTCTCTTGGCCCTATTTTCCAACATGCAGAGCCAGCCTACTCCCAGCATAAGCCCAACCTTAAAACAAGCAAAGGAAGTTTCCGGGTGGATATTTTGCAAACTTCTTGTGTCCATCCCTTACAAAAACTGAGAAAAAGTCTTGGTTTATCTAATGCAAGCTACTGCCAGGTTAGATTCCACTTCTCTGACACTCACCTCAGGCTAAGTCAGCCTGAAAGCATTGCTCTGGAAAAGGTTTTATTAGAACCAGTCTCAGCCTTAAAGAAACTAAGTTGCCTCCCCACTTCCAAGATTCCTTTAAATCTTCCCATTATAGCACACAGCCAGAAAGTAGAGAGGTACCTGCAGTCCCAGAAATGCCATAAAAATGGTATTTATGGTCCCCAGAATCCCTTCAGGATCATATGGCATCGTTGTTTGGTAAATCACCTTACAGAGAAAACAGTTGTTACAGGGCACCTGAGCAACCAATCTCCTTTCTCCTCCATCCCCCTGCATGTATCATTCCCAAGCCCCTCCTGACAGCTATGTTCAGTGCTCTTCATACTGCAAACCAAAAGCTACTTACACTTGAAGAGGGATGCTGATATATATGCTTTTCTCCAAGAAGCAAACGATCAATGTAACCAGCCGCTCCTCCAGTGCAGTTGGGATAGTTTCCAAAGTCTCCAATGCCCCCAGGACCAAGATAGCCCCTAGGACAGAAGCAAACAGGTTATGGCACAAAGTTTTGGTACTCTCCACCTGAATAGTAGCCGGTCCACTGGCCCAGCACAGTAAATGCTCGATGTTTTCCCTGGCCAGAGGCACACAGTGAAACACAGGTCCTACATGACAGCTGGCTGGTAGCCACCCTGTTTTGATCATCGCAATGCCATGAGCAGCTGGGTCATGAGGGGACAGGCAGTATCGGGAGCCTAAAGCAACGCCTCAGTTCAGCCCTGGCTACCCAGCCAGCTGCTCCACCTGCTCTGCAGGTGCTGTCCCTTTAAAGGGGCAAAGATAGGGACAGGGATGACATTGCGATGATCATATATCACTGCACACAGACCTCAGGGAGATTTTAATCCTCTTCTTCAGACAGAAAGGAACAACAATGTCACCTTTATAACACCAGGTACTTTAGCATCAAAGTAAAGAAAGTTTCTTCACATGATGAATGCTTCCCTTAACCCCGCCAGCCTAAAAGCTCTCCTCTTCATTCCTTCCCTATAGCTAATAAAATGTATGTTCTACTCAGTAGAAGAAAAACAATCATCTGGTGCCCCACAGAAAGCAGTCTGAGTGCACAGTCTTACCTGGGACAACCTGGCACTGGTAACAAAAAGGTCAAGCAGAGCCAAATCACTTCTAACATCAGAATGAGAATCCACTGTGGCCAGTAGGGGAGAATATCCTGCAGAGCAGGACATGGCATCTCCTGCATGAGATGGAGGGAGGTGGGTATTAGCTGGCAAGTAAAAACCATGCCCTTGGGGACATCCTGTACTTCCTGGCAGGCAGTCCCCCAGATACAAGAGGGAGCTGTTGTCATTACAAAACTGCGTTCTACCAATAGACCTTTCATCTTCATGAACAATTTCCAGACACTTAGTTACTTGGGGGAGGGGGAGAAACAAAACAAAACAAAAGCCCACAATGTTTTTTAGCTTGGAAAATGTCAAAAGGAATTTTGATTCATGAGTAGAACAAAAGCCTTTTGGGAAAACAGACTCCAGAAAGGCCAAAAAGCAGTATTACTTTCCCCTGCTGTGAAAAAACACTGCCAAAATTAACCGGACAAAACACAGGCCACAGGACTCAGCATAGAGATGCCTGTCCCTTGGGTCCCTTGGCGGTGGAAAGTCATCAAAAGTGCCTGGGAATGCCTGCTTCTAAGCACCATCTGAATGGATCGGTGAAATCCTAAAATACAGCAAAGCTAGATGTGAAAAAATGCAGACTGGGACGCTGAAGGGTGCATGTTCCCCAAAATTTTTGCCAGGTCACACTGCACTACACATGAGGTAAGATGCTACATGTTTTCTCATCATTTCTCATGTGTTCTTTGTGCCCAAACAAGAGCAAAAGCTCCCAAACCCTACTCCAGTATCACTTGTCATCTCCCCACATAACTCACCAAGGTCCCACTCTCAGTCCCAGCTCTTGTAAATAGGAGTTCGAGAGCAGCAACCACCAGGTACGTGAATCCCAGCCTCTGGAGCACCCCAGGAATACGCAGATTATCCCAGGACACTGAAAAACGTGCAAGCAATGTGGAAGAGGAGCAAACATGGGCTCTTTTGTAAATATGAAAGCTACCCTTCTCCAGGGAGAGCTGAGACCCACTGCACTTGCAGGTACAAGGGACACCTACACTCTGCCACCTCACTTTCTGTAAATCATAACCCCGGGAAAGTCACCGCTAAGCTGATAAACAGTGGTTGGCACAGGGGTGCAGGTACAAGGGACACCTACACTCTGCCACCTCACTTTCTGTAAATCATAACTCCGGGAAAGTCACCGCTAAGCTGATAAACAGTGGTCGGCACAGGGGTCAAACAGAGAATTGCATCAGTGCAGAACTGAACAGCACTCTACAGGATACCATCAAACTGCCCCCATGCGACCGGTCGGTACAGCAAGGTTGACACTGTTTTCTCAACAGCCCAGCCAAGGAGGCAGGAATGACAGTTGCAGAAATACAAGGAAGAGAGCAAGTTCCACTCACATGGTCCAAGGCAGTAATTGGGATTCACAACTATGATTCCCAGCAGGATTAGCAGAAAACTCCTCCAGAGGATCTTCCCAAGCACCTTCCGCTTGGAACTTCCCCATCTCAGCATGGAGCTCAGTGACAGCGATATCGATGTCCCCATAATGAACACAAACCTGGAGAACAGAGCGGATGGGAAATGGAGCTGACAGATGTCTCATCACACATGTGCGTGACAGCAAACACTAAAGCTAACAGAGTAGCCTGCATTGGCCCAACAGAAATGCATCCATTGAGTGAAATTGGACAACTTTATTTCCTCTGATTGCTAGGAATTCCCAGACAACTGAGCTTGCACTATGGGACCTTTCCACCTCTTTCCGTGGTCAGTTGAGGCAATAAAGTTCAGGGAAGTAATTGCATTCTTGCAATTGGATTTCTGCAGCAATACATATGCCACCAAAAAATTCCACTACCCAAAATTAAATTACCATCTTCAGAGCAGTAAAACACAAGCTGCAAATCTATGATTCAAATTCAGAACTGACCCACTCCTCCCCTCTAGATTAGGTTCACAGTCAAAGTCCAGCTCCCATCTCCAAGAGTAACCACAACCGGTCTGTATTTTAGAGAAGCATGCTAGGGGCAGATGGGATAATTGCTTCCCCATAAGACCATTCTCTGGTTGTATAGAGATTAGCTTAATCCAAAATTCCCTTGGCTATTTTATCTCTGGATACACATCAGTCCAGCTTTGAATCTTGCCAGATTGACCGCCTTCAGCACAGTAGCATGGCAATGAGCTCCCCAGGGATACTGCACTTCCACTGGCAGGGAATCCTGCCGCCCGGGCGGTCGACCCCTGCGCCCCCCGCTGACATTGTGTGGGGGGAGGAAGGAGGATGCGGGGCAGCCAAAAGCACTTAGTTCTTCTACTGGTTCATAAGAATGATGCTGTTATCTGGAGGGGCAGATTCCTATCAACCGTTTAACACAAAGTCTCCCCTCCAAATACATTTCCACATGGAGGCTAGGTGCACACAATGTTCTCCCTGCAACCCTTAACATAAAGAATCACTTGACACAAGAACTATTCCTCAGGAAGACTTACCATGGAAACACCAGATCTGCCACTGTTAATCCTACAGAGAAATACGAAGGAACACGTTATTTACCTCAAACCCTCCCTACATTTTAACAACATTACTGTTGAGTTTCCAGAGGAATTGCAGGCTGCTTGCCATTATTTGATGCCCCAAAATCTAAAACATGTTATAAACAAAACTTACAAAGAGCTAATCATCTTGCTTCACTGCTTTTACCATTCTTCAAAAATAGGGTCAGAACTGATTGCTGTGTCTTGGGAAAGATTTCAGGGATTGGATCCTTGCTATTCTCCACTAGGGCAGCATGATGCCCGACCCCTTCCCCATCAGCTTGCCAATCAAGGCATTATGTTCGTACAGCATTGAGCACCATCAGCTTGACTGTGGTCATTAAACAACACAGAAAAGTTAAAGATATGAACCTGTGTCAAAAATGAAAAGGTTACACACAGACTGTGATCTGAAACCATCCCGTCACTGTGTGACAAGCAGGACTATACACTGCTTTGCCCATATACCTAACAGGCCAGATACCCTGCTGAGGCAAACTGGCACAGCGTCCCAGCCTTCAGCTGAGCAACAGATAGCTGCAGCAGCTGCAATGCTAACCATATCTAGATACTGCTGCAGTTAAAACCCAGATTAACTGTCTCAATTGTACTTTACCGTTCCAACTCTCATGTTTGAAGAACCAGTATTTTCCTCCTCCATAGTTAACAAACACCATAATTATAAGAGAGAGCCTAGAAAGACAACAAAAAAACCACACACAAAGTATCACATGTCGATGAAATACATATGTATGAACACACAGTTAATGTTTACCCCCATTAAAACATTTCTAACTGTGAGATCTGGTTTATTTTATTTTTGAAGCAAGATTATGTACAAGGTTTCCAGCGCTGCCAACCAGGAAGCAGCGTTTCAAAGATCATGGGTGGCGGTGAACCAAAGTAAGCTCCTTCACATAGCGTTTTCGCACTGAACATATGTTGTTCTTTTCCACCCTCTGCCACAACGTTAATGTTTCCTCAAACTAGATCAACTGCAAAGCGTTTCGGAAAATCCAATAATTAAAACCTTGATTATCTTCCAAGTAAAACAGACCCCCTTGAACCATCCATCTGCTATATATTTCCATACACTGTCAAACCGCCATTAGAAAAATCTCATTCCCCTTGGAGGAGCTGCTTTTGAGCAAGGTCTTATGCTCACCCTCGGAACGTGTCCAGGGAACGCAGCCGCTGCCGAGAGGCTGTGCTCCACAAACGCGGGGTGGGATCACCGCTAACGGAGTCTGTTGTGTTCGGGGACCCGAGCTCCTTTGGGAACAAACCAGACACACAAAGGGCAAGTCAGCAGCTGCATCAGCTGCCCAAGGAAAAGAGGTCAGCAAACTGCAAACTTTCACATACTGTGTTTGTCTTTGTTCTCCCCATCTTCCTCTTCCTTTTGTTTCCCCACTTGTTACTTCTAGCCCCTTCATGGCTCCACCATACTGCAATAATATTTGCAGATGCTCCACACTCCACCTTTGACCAGGGTGGAAACAACAATGCAGTGAAAAGAGCCTGTGTTTGAGACTCATGAGAGTTGGGTCCAGTCCAAATCAGCCACAGACTTGCCGTCACTGTGAGTGCTGCTTTACAACAAAGCTGAGCAGATCCAGCTGCTGACTCTCAAACAGGATCCATCCCATCCCATCAGCACTTCTCTGACACCACAGAGAGACTGTTTAGTGAGCTAAACCAGCACAAAATGAATCCTTTTCAATGCAGGAGTAGCTTACTTCCCATTGAGTTCCCTAAATCACTGATCAGCCCCAGTGACAGCATAAAGAAGCAGACATCGCTGTAACACAGCTATGGAGATGAACAACTGCAAGAATTGCTGCAGAGCTCTGCTCCCAAGTCTTTTGATTCTAGACAGGTTTGGACCCCCTAGATGTGAAGCCCAGACTGTGATGATCTATCTATATTCTAGTACAAAACATGGCTCACACAGAAACACCAGCTCTAGGGCTGCCAGAGAAATCTTGACTTAAGTGTAGATCCTGCTAAAATTCCTACTGTGCTGGAAGCAGACATGAAAGCTGGCATTTCTTCCCTTCCCTTACATTGTCTATGTCAGAAGAGGACAGTATTTTCACTGACACATTTGCTTCAACGGAACTAAAAACGGCACAGAGCCGTATGTTCAAGACTTGCAAGAGCTCTACTGGGAATCCACTAAACTTGCGTGGAAACCCAGTCTAGCACTTTCCATTGACATAAAATTGCCTGTCTGACATCAATACAAGATTTGCCAAGGGGAACATGCACAAAGGGAAGATGATTAGTAATAAACAAGTCCCCAGATGTCCAGATAGTGTGTGTTCCTCAGAGATGAAAACACTACAGAATGCAAATTAAAGATACGGTGGTCACTCACAGAATTAATCAGACGATCAGTTTCTCTGGGGTTCAGTTTCTTGTAAACCCAGTTTCTGACTGGATCAATTCTGAAAATTAGTAACAGTTTAAAACACAAAACAAAACAAGAAGTACTTTATGACAACTTCATCTTAATATCAACTATTTAGCAGCATAAATCAAAAGTTGGGACAGTCCCTATTTCTGTTTTCCCAGCTCACATATGTAATATTGAGATTCAGCCAGTACCTGGGACCTCAGTGAAGTCCAGCTATGTACTTACACTGCCACAAGCTCAGGTTCAGGGGCTTTATTCTCAAGTTGTTTATAGGCACGGATGATTCACGTCATTCAGTACACGGGATGGAAGGCTGCATATGCTACACACGCTTAGGTCCCACTGACTTGTATTGCCAATTCAGGGCTAGAGCCAGGAACAAGTCACGGGAGGGTAAGGCAGGGTGTGTGTGAGCTTACAGTGGACGTCACCTGCTCTGCAGTAACCGCTCTACACACAAGCTAACAAGGCTGCAAGATGTCCCTCAAGGGAAATCGTATCACTCTGTATTTATTACCATATGGACAGCTACCACAGCTTAACTTGTACGTGGCAACCTGATAACAGGATGTGATCTGCAAGCAGGGCCACAGTGGGACTCTGAAGCACTACCACACTATGCCGCATGTTTTTAAACTGGTGGCCCCACTTCATGTGTGAGGAGGTATTACAATACTGTTCACTTACTTCATAAAAAGGCGCCCGACAATCAGGATAGCAAGGATCCCCATGTAAACCAGGAAAGCAAAGAGAATAGCTACATGAAAGAGGAAGAACACAACTCTGTAAATGATCTAACAAAAACATTCAGCAGCCTGGGCTTGTCCAAGTGTGACACAAACATGACAAAAAGCCCAACCCACCAATCATCACACCACCTTCTCCATGCAATACATATCCCCAGCCTGAGTCCCAGAGAAAAAAAAAAAACAGAACACAACCCCAAAACAACCCAAAACAAAAGCAAGCTAGTTTCAAAGTGCAGCTCAGTGACTGCACATCTCGGCATAAAAAAGGCAAAATAAAACTGCACTGCATCACAAGGCAATGGTGAGAAAAGAGTCGATGTGCTATACGTTCTGAAGAAGAAACTAGAGATTTAGAAACAGTCTCAACATGAAGAAGACAGGGGAGAGGGTAATACACCAAGTTTGCAAGCATGGAGAATTTTTCTTTACAGCTGGAAAACTGGAAGGACTGAGGAATAACCTAATGTAAAGGAAAAGAATGGAAGAGATGTAGACGAGAGTTTGAAACAGCCCTGGAAAAGAGATGAACAAAAAAGCAAGAGCTGAGGTTTAAAATTAAAAGCGCAACAACAAACAAAAATCCAAACGCTGTATGAATTGTTTTTTTCGTTGTGAGAGAAGCAAGATAGAGGGAAGAAGAGGGACGATTCTGTGTACATACGTAAAACATGCAGGGAAACAGGAACTAACTACAAAAATAGCTCCCTCCAGACACATACCCACTGACTTTTCTGGGCTAATCCCTGCTGCAAATAGGTTGTGGTCATACAGTATATCATGTGAAGAGGCCTGATCTTGGTCAGGGCCTCAAGACGGGTGTATAAAACATAAGGAGGTAAGATGCTGAGGGAGAAGAGGAGGAAGCCCATGACACATCTTCAGCACAGCACAAGTGGCTGCACAGGCTTTTTAGGAAGTTGGTTCTGCTGGGAGACATGCAAGTTGTAGAATGAAAGGGGAAAACAGAGCATTACATACGGAGGTAGCTGTTGATAGGGCCTTCATTGATGACTAGGTCACAAGAAACAGTTTTGGTGCTTGTACTTAGGGTCTTTACCACAAGGGAATAATTGCCAAACTCTCCAAAATGATACTGAATCCTGCAAAGGATAAAGGAAACGAAACTTGCTGAGCCATCACTGCTACGTGCAGGTACCACAGCAGCATTTGGGGGGCTGTAAGCCTGAATGCTTGTAGGAAAGGCAAGCTGAAAACTTGGCCTAACAGCGTGATCTAGCAAGGAGCTTCCTGGCTCTGCCTTTGCCAAGCATTACCCTCCCCTAGCTCAACATAGATGCATTACCACACATGTGCTGCCTACTACATCACCTGTCTTCTTGAACTACAGCCTCTCTGCAAGACACACCAGGCACTTGCACATGCTGGCTCAACGCATACCATTTCAGCTCCTGCTTGCACCTAAATCCTTTCAGCACAATTACAATGTACGCCACAGTTACAGCAGCGGGGGAAGGACTGAACTCTAGGTCTAAACAGTCAGGAAAAAGGAGGTAATAAATAGGCACACAGCTTTAAGAAAAAAAACCCAAATATAGGATGGAGCTATCCAGGTGTTCTCTGGGGCTGGGCCACATACTTGCAGAGCTCTCTGTCACCCACAGAGCCATTGAGCAAAAGGGTGAGTGGATGCTGGGTATCAACCATTACCGCCGCCGTGCCTGGTTTTCTCAGGCTCCCGTTGCTGGGTGGGACGAACACCAGGAACTCATACAAGCACTGTGGAAGAAGAGAGGGAAGGGAGCTCATTAGTGCCAAAGGAGAAAGGGGGTCCTGCTTCGCATAGCGGCAAAGGAAAAGACAAGGGAAGATGCCCAGGGGCTGGGAGCAGCTCCCGCTGCGGGGCTTCCCGGCGTGCCACTCGAAGGTAAAACCAAAGCGAAGCAATCTTAACAAAGCCATGGGGAGACGCCAGAAAAGCCAAGCTGCCCCGCCGAGGGCCGGCGCAGA